TGCGCCCTGCGTAAGGAGGGTTTCCATAAACAACCAGCACAAATGCATCTTGGCTAGATGGAATGGGAATGTCTCTGTTATTCATGTGCAAATACACAATAAATGTACCGAGTTGTTAGGAACCTCTATTCACAGATGCATTCTTGCCTTGGTTTATTTGTAAGATGATGAAGGGCTTGTGTTAAAGAATCTCATTTCACTCATAACCTCCAAATGGGATTTTCTTTTCAGTGATAAGTGGCAATATGAAGTATTGAATCTATCCCTTTTTTCGCTGGGTTGCAGTTTATTCACAACTGAAATTAAAATACATTTTTTGAGAGTATTTGAGACGTTCCAAAGATCTGTTTTGTAAATTTGATGCCATGTTCTCTTTTCTGAGGATGAGGATGCGTAACCCCTCAAAAAAAGCATCTACAATAGTGGTTTCATTACTGGATATCCATCTTTTTATATATATATATATATATACATATACATATTATTTTGAAGCTGTTTTACAATAATGGGGCAAAAACACAGTAAAAAAAGGGGAAAAAAATTGGCATCACCCAAGGTCACATCTTTAAATCTTGGCTAATGTACCGATACAGCTTTTACTGTATGTAATGGTACATACCGAGAGGGGAGGCAGATTTTAATGTTGTTGCAATACGTTTCCTAGCTACGTATAAGGTGACCTCTATAAATTTTACTTGGTGTTTGTTCACAGATCGACTGACCAAGTTTCCCAGTAAACTCAATTCAGGATCTAAAGAAACAGCGATTCCTGTGATATACTCAATATAATTCAGAGGTCATACCAGAAGGGGCCACTTTTATACAGAGCCAGGTACAGTGTACAAAGAAATCAATATCTATACCACACCTAAAGCACATAGAAGAAAGTGAAGACAAAAGAGGTGTTTGTCAATTGTTATGTTCCAGTCTGACTCCCACATCGCTCTGGATTTATGCAAATCTGGTTTGAGGCTCTAACACTGTAAAAAAGGAAAAATGCTTCTTTTCTTAATAAATGTAGAGGCTACTTTCCTCCTTCTTGTCACTAATCCCTAAGCAAAGATCATAAGTGAAAGACAAGGCACAGCAACAAAGATCTTGGGAGCATATGGGAAATTAGAAGGGTGAAATGTAGATAATAATGTTAAAGATGAAACATTCATTTGAGGTTCCTTTGAAGGATAATCAGTCAGTCACATACCTGCTCTACTGGGTTACACTCAGTCATAAGACTAGTCCAAATAAGTACCGTGAATAGCGTGATACTCCTAACTCCTACAGAGAGGTATTCACATCACATGCAGTCAGGCAGCTGGTTTTCAAAGAAGCATACTATAGTATGCTATAGTATGCTGCTAACGCTATAAGGACGTTCAACAGCCATTCAGCTGTATCACCTTGTGTTTTACCTGCTAAGACTATATAACTCCTATTTTCATAAAGAAAAAAAAAGATGGGAAATAGATTCAAAGTGGATTTTTGGAAATGTTGATTTAAATGAGCTTTGCCACTCAGGTTTAAATTCCTCTGGTGCTTTAGTTTATTTTTTTAGGGATTTTTTTTGTGTGTGTGTGTTTTTTTCTTGCTGTTGACAGATTTCAGTCATATTTTCTCATTTGTTTTCAGACTCGATGGGCTTCAGTTTCATCCCCCTTACAGATGCTTGCAGCACACAAACTCAAACCAAGCACAGGATTCGTGATAATACCTGAGATCAATCAAAAATTCTGGAAATTGTACGTCAATTGTGCTTGAACAGACGATGTAATCCAAGAAAATAATATCGTTAATGTGCTGGGATTGCAAAACCTTAATTAGATCAGCAGCTTATCTGCAGCTGTTAGTGTTTTGAAGTGTTATTAGTAGCGAGAGGTGTACAGAGAGCTCATGAAGACGAAAGAGATACGCTTTGGCTTTATCTGCTCTATACACTGTGTCAGGCCATGCGATAATGTTTTCAGCAGATTACAAATAGACAAGGTCTTTAAATTGGGCCCGACTACTCACCAAAGACCAATCACCGCGAGCCGACACCGGAGCCGGCTGTAATATGTGTGTGAAATGAGAACCATCACAGTAACGCTGTGCACAGCTTCCCTGATGAACGAGACCCCCTTTAAACTAATGTTAAATGGGCTGGCTTTGATAGAGCAGAAAGTTAACCCTTTTTTCCTCTGCAGACCTTTACACCGAGCACTTCAATGAAAGCACAGATAGCAAACTCGGTTAAAACCAACCTTTTTTTTAAGATCCTTTCTGTTTTTAAACGGTACAAAACACCTCTGAAATGTGCAATTAAAATGAGAAAAGATGGAGCTCTTTTCATCTGTCTCTTTTGATTGTGTCCACTTAACATCTTTATATGCACAAACTATAAAGTGTGTAGGAAGGCAGATGCTGACTCTGCCTCCAGAGGCACAAACTCAAATAAACACTCTTTGCTGCAGGTATCATGCTGCTCCCACGCAGTATGTTGTGCTGCAAATGAGTATCCATACTCTTCCGCAGCACCACGCCACTGCGCACCTCGGGGGTCAGCATATGGCTGGCAAGAATTTATTCTATGCCCCTCAGCGGGCCCTAAACACTTCTAATTAATGCACCAATATGGTCCAAATTTTGCTGCATACAGGCACCCACTTGTGAACAGATTGACAGTGCTAATATATTCTCTCTCTCTCTCTCTCTTCTGGAACAATAGCCACATTATCAGATTTGATTCATTTGCATTGTATAGCCAAAATGCAGTGAGATTGTTGCAGATATTTAGCTTACTTCCTATTAACCTCCTATTCATTAGACAGAAAAACAGCAACAACAACAAAACAAACTGCTGGCTCCCATTTCTTGGAGAGAGATACAAAGTTTCCTACAAGTCTTGATAACTTTACAAGTTTTTGCAAACACTAGGAAGAAAAGAAAAAAAAGACTGATGCCCTTGAAGTTCTAAATTTAAGCTGGAACATGTGTGACTGGAGCCTGCGCAGTGATTGAGGCGAGTGCTGTTTTTAGCTTCTAATGAAAGGCTTGTTCATTAAAAATGCCTGACTTTGATGGTGTGGAGGTGGTACGCAAACAATGTCACAAGTCTAGAACAATAGCTCACACACCTAAAAATAAAGATGTGCTTGGAAACATGCCTTTGCTTTTTATCACTCTGGAATTATGAAAGATGTGTGGTTTTTATTCAAGGAATAAATCAGTGTTACCTAAGAGACAACACGTTGTTCACTGCCTACAGTATAGTGGTGACGTCAGAGAGGTGCATTGCTATGTTCACTTTCCTGTCTTTGGTAAAGCCTGTCAGCTGTCAGTGCACTGCAGGATCTCTCCTTTCCCAGATATTTGTTCTCCTGATATTAAAAGCGGAACAATTTCTTTAATTTTGAGGCCGTACGGCTGCCACTGAGCAGGTGTTTATGTGACAGTCTAATGGCTGAGTATTGTAATTCTTGTTGCTGTAACTCAATAAAGGTGAGAGGCTTGGTAATAAAGTGTCAGACTGTCGTGTTGTGGAAACATCAGCAGTGTCACAGTGTCAGAATATATGCATCCACCCACTCACACTTATAGGAGGAGGAGGTTCAATCGAGAGAGCGAGACAAAAAGAAGAAGAGGAGAAAAAGGCGCAGCTTTCTTGTAATATTGATCCATAAATGCAGAAAGTGCGCCATCTATTGGGTGAATTTCAACTTGCAACCATAGCTTTTTAAAGTGTCCAGATTTTTGCTGGATGTAGAGCTATTTTCAAACACTAGGTGGCGATGCACTCATTCAGTAATGCATTTTTTATACTAAATAGCTTACTAGTTTTCCTTCTTTTTATTC